TCGCCTGTTCGTACTGCTCGCACTGGTCGTCGTGTCCCACGTGAGCGTCCTCCTCCTGTCCCTGGCACTCACTACATGACTCTACGTCCCTCCACTGCTCCGCAGCGTGTCCCGCTGCCGTCTCCTCCTGCGTCCTCTCTTCCTACTCTTCCTGACCCGGAGTCTGACTCCCGTCGTGCTGCCAGTCCCACTGTCACGCGTCTCCTTGCTACAGTTGTCACTGACCCGACCTTTGAGTCCTCTGCTGCGTCTGCCCTGGTCGCTGAGTTGGTTGACTTTGCTGCTCGCTGTCGCCTAGACTACGCTGCCAGCCTTGTCGCTAGGTCTGAGTCTGCGTCTGCCTGTCCTCCGTCCGTCGGGGGTGAGTGTGCCCTCGGCACGGACGTCCTTGAGGACAGACAGGAGGAGTTCCACTGCCTTGCTGCTGCTTTGCCCCGTCTCGTGTCCTTGCTAGTTGCCCCTGAGGGAGACCCGGATGCACCAGACATCCCGACCCCACGCTCTTACGCTGAGGCGATGGCGGGTCCCTACTCCTCTCAGTGGCAGTCAGCCATGGACGCAGAGATGGCTTCCTGGAAGTCCACAGGCACCTACGTAGACGAGGTTCCCCCTCCTGGGGCGAACATCGTTAGTGGCATGTGGATTTTCAGGGTGAAGCGGCCGCCGGGTTCTCCGCCTGTCTTCAAGGCGCGCTACGTGGCTCGAGGCTTCAGTCAGCGAGAGGGAGTAGACTTCTTTCAGACCTTCTCCCCCACCCCGAAGATGACTACTCTTCGGGTGCTGCTGCACATAGCCGCTCACCGCGACTACGAGCTTCACTCCCTTGACTTCAGCACTGCTTTCTTGCAGGGCAGCCTGCACGAGGAGATCTGGCTGCGCCGCCCCCCTGGCTTCACTGGGTCATTTCCTCCTGGCACCCAGTGGAGGCTTCAGCGGCCGGTCTACGGTCTCCGCCAGGCGCCACGTGAGTGGCACGACACACTGAGGACGACACTTGCGGCTCTTGGGTTCGCTCCCTCTACTGCTGACCCGTCGCTGTTTCTACGCACCGACACCTCGCTGCCGCCGTTCTACATCCTCGTGTACGTCGACGACTTGGTCTTTGCCACTGCTGACACCGCGGCACTCGCTCACGTGAAGTCGGAGCTGCAGAGGAGACACACGTGCACAGACCTGGGTGAGCTGACGAGCTATCTTGGCTTGCGGATCACCCGGGACAGAGCACGGCGCACCATCACCCTGACTCAGTCACACATGGTGCAGCAGGTCCTCCAGCGCTTCCGCTTCACGTACTCCTCGCCTCAGTCCACTCCTCTGCCTACCGGTCACTCGCTCTCAGCTCTGCCTTCGGATGAGTCCGTAGAGCCGAGTGGCCCGTATCCAGAGCTTGTGGGCTGCCTCATGTACCTGATGACCTGCACTCGACCTGACCTTGCATACCCTCTTAGCATCCTAGCACGCTATGTCGCTCCTGGCCGTCACCGGAAGGAGCACATGGATGCTGCTAAGAGGGTGTTGCGCTACTTGTGCAGTACGTCGGGCATGGGGCTTGTGCTTGGAGGGCGAGACCGGGTTGTTCTCACAGGGCACTCAGACGCTTCTTGGGCAGACGACCAGGCTACTCAGCGGTCGTCCCAGGGTTACACCTTCAGCCTTGGCTCTGGCACAGTTTCTTGGCGTTCTACTCGCTCTTCTTCTGTTCTCAGCTCCAGTTGTGAGGCTGAGATCTACGCCACAGCCATGGCCGCTCAGGAGCTACGCTGGCTGACCTACCTGCTGACCGACCTCGGAGAGCGGCCTCGTTCTCCTCCAGTGCTGTACGTCGACAACAAGGCTGCCATTGCCTTGTGTGAGGAGCACAGACTGGAGCACAGAACGAAGCACATCGCTCTGCGGTACTTCCTGGCTCGAGAGCTGCAGCAGCGTGGTCAGCTTTGTCTGCGTTACGTGGCCACGGAGGCCAACACTGCTGATGTGTTCACCAAGGCGCTTCAGCCTTGTGACCATCAGCGCTTTTGCACTCTGCTAGGCCTTGTACCTACTGGGCCTCACTTACTTACCTCTTGACCTTGCTTGTACTGTGATCACTATATATATATGCCTACTTGTTTACTTTTGCTAGGTTGTGATCACTGTATCTCTTGCTTTGTTATAAACCTGCATGTGAACTGGTCTTGTGACCGCTTGCTTGTGCTCGGAATTTGTGTGGAATCCTTGAGATCCACCCTGAGCTTGTTTTGCTTTGCTTTGACTGGTCTTGTGACCCTGTGGTTGTCTCCCACTGCGCCTATGGGGGTGTGTCAAACATTGCATGTTTATATTGTCTAGGCTGTAGTGGGTTACACCTTAGGGGGTACACAAAGTTAGGGTTTCCTACTTGTACCAAACTCTGTTCTAGTTCATTCATTCCTGCTCAGTTATTTCTGACAACAACGCGTATGCCCGTCCAACGCATCTATTCCAGATAAGGGTATCTTTATTTGGATCCAATGGTACAATGCCAGCTGTGTGTGTCACTTCATGAGCCGTAAAACTAGCCACTCACTTCTAGTGCCTACTGTGTGGTGCAGAGAACACGTACTGCTTCGTGTGCGAAAATCGTTTATTCCTGGATGTGGTGAACACAAATATTAGAGTGTCGTTTCTTTTCACATACATTGTGCGTCCATTTTCAACCATGGCTGACATTAAGGGATTATTACAGACACTGAGGGCGGAGCCGGGCGATGTCTACGGGTTTGTCGAGTTTCCGTTTATGCCGACGAAGCATCCCTGGGAGTGGGTCATCTACATGGACGATGATATGATGCACGACGGGGGATGGCGCTTTTCGGTGGGCCTTCTCTTCAACGCCGACGGCTCTTCAAAGCCCCGCCCGTATATTATTACGAACCAACGGCCGGAGCAGGAGCCCTCGGGCGATTTCAACATGAGCGAACACGTGGTCACGTGGAACACAACAGATTGGCGGTTAACGCCTGAGGTAAGACTCATCGCATGCTTACGAACCCGGCCCCATAACTTGTGTTCGCTGGAATTACTATGGCTGTACTTACTCGGTTAATGACTCCGGCACAATCACGCGCGCGTGTGCAGGTTTTCACGTGCATCATCGAGGACCTGAACGCTGCTAACCTAACTACCGACCGGAAGACGACTATCCTGGTCTGCAACACACGCCACACCATGGCGACGGACTCCGGGACTCGGTCCAAGATGTGCGGCTTCGATGTCACTACGTTGACCCACACCCGCGTGGTGCAAATGGCGGATGTGGTGCCCATCTACGGGATACCGATGCTGTCGTGATAGTAGGTATACTGAGGAGCCATAGCTAGGGTTGACCTAGCTAGGCAAGAGAGAATGAAGGCAAAAGAGGGGGCTGAACTAGCAAGAATGGGGATACAAATAGCAAACCCTAGAAGGGTTGTACTCGCTACAGAGCACCCCACTACAGGCTAGAGCATAATATTCTGACACACCCCCATAGCCAAAGTGGGGTGTAATCAGCAGAGGAAACAAAGCAGTACAAGCTCAGGGTGGATCACGATGTCACCACACATTCTGAGCACAAGCAAGAAGCAATAGTTTAAGGTGCACAATTATGAGCAAAGCTAGAGGCAGTCACAAAAGGGGCAAGTGAGGAGGAGGAGGCGAGACTGTAGGTGGAGAGGAGATAAGAGGCGTCGGCTGAAGCTGCAGACACACGGGCAACAGGAGTCAAACTGGCTCAGTGGCTACCGGAACAAGCGCCCCGGACTACAGGAGTAACTGGCTCCGCGGCTAAGAAGAGCGGCAGACGAGCAACGGACCCACGGGCGACTGGCGCAGCTGGCTACGACTGGGCTACCGGAACAAGCGCCCCGGACTACAGGTGCTGCTGACGACAAGACGGCAGCCTCCGCTCAACCTCCCCCGACTGTCCCACCCCCCTCTCACACACCCCCTGCTGGAACCCTAGCTCCACTCCGACGGTACCCCCCTTAGACCCCAAACCCTAGGCTCCCACACACCACCCCCCTCAGCGGCAGCTGTAGCAGAGGGAGACGAGGGAGGAGGAGGAGCAGGGAACGGCACACTGAAGCTGCACCCCCATACCCCCCACCCCAAACCCTAATCCAGGAGAACGGGCAGAAGGAGGGGTGGGGCGCCTTCAGAAGCACGGGGGACAGCGGGGAGGACAGGGGAAGCGAAGAACGGGCCGCCCACGGGCCTGGCACCGCCTCCCGAACCGCGCGCAGGCGGTCCGAGCCGCGCGCGGGCCTGGCGCAGCCCGTACGGGCCGCGCGCGTGCCTGGCGCAGCCCGTACGGGCCGCGCGCGGGCCTGGCGCAGCCCGTACGGGCCGCGCGCGGGCCTGGCGCAGCCCGTACGGGCCGCGCGCGGGCCTGGCGCAGCCCGTACGGGCCGCGCGCAGGCCTGGCGCAGCCCGTACGGGCCGCGTGCCGGGTGTACGGGCCGCGTGCAGGCCACGACGGGCGACGGGGGGCGACGCGCGGGTCCCCGTCGCCCGTCGCAGCGCCTCCCGGGGGCGACGTGCCGAGTGACGGGGCAGGAACCCGTCGCGCGCCTCGGGGCACACGGCGGGCAGAGAACCGCCGCGCGCCTCGGGGCGCACGGCGGGCAGAAAACCGCCGCGCGCCTCGGGGCGCACGGCGGGCTGAAAACCCTAGTTTCGACGCCGCGCACCACGGGGCGCGCGGCGGACAGGGAGTAGCAGTAGCAGCGGAAGCAGTGAAGTGGGCCCACAGGCCAGGAACGTTAAGCTCTGATACCATGTCGTGATAGTAGGTATACTGAGGAGCCATAGCTAGGGTTGACCTAGCTAGGCAAGAGAGAATGAAGGCAAAAGAGGGGGCTGAACTAGCAAGAATGGGGATACAAATAGCAAACCCTAGAAGGGTTGTACTCGCTACAGAGCACCCCACTACAGGCTAGAGCATAATATTCTGACAGATGCTTCTCGGGATCGTCGAGACGTTTAAGGCGGTTTTCCGTAACATGTGGCTGCGTAAGATTTTGGCGGACATGCGACCGGATGACGGAGCGTGGGTGTTGTCACGCCCCGAGCTGGAACAAGTCGTGGTGTGGATGGCACGGTCGTGGAAGCGTGTTTCGAGGGTGACAATCATGCGTTCATGGGCAGCGGCGGATTGTGTCCCCCCGACCTGGCAGCGCTTGTTTATTGCGTCGATGCCCAGAGTTACCACCTTAGTGCTGGACCAGTTGACAGATGAGCTAATGCGTTTACAGGGACAGATTGATCGGTACATCCCCAGCTGGGACCGCTTGACCGCTGTCAAGTACGTGTGTGTCGAATCGGATCATCCTGTGTGCACTAACGCCGTGACTGCCGGTGATTTTCATCTCGGATGTGATACCGGTGCCGAGCCTGAGTCGGCACCTGGCTATGTGGACGACGTCAGGAGCATTCGTCGCGTCATGCGCACGTTGTCTGGTGCGTTCGCGAAACGAGCCGCGGACTCAGGCAAGGACCCCGCCGATGTTGTTGTGGACGCTGGCATTACGAACGCAGACCTGGTGTCCCGTCTCCTCAGGACGCCCACTAAGAAGAGGCGTAATGTCGGAGAGTGAATTTGTAGTTGGCGCAAGAGTTTGCTGTAGCCACTACATGCAACAAGTGTGCGGCGGTGTGTGGGGGGATATGTCTACTAAGCTGTTCCTGCTGTGTTTTGTACGAGAAAACTTGATAGTATTGTCATGTTCTGCAACGGGACGTGGCGCTATATTGCATTAAAAATGTTCGTGAATAATCAAATATGCACCAAAGGCAGTGTAACGTAACCACGTACCCGAGTCAATGGAGACTGCCCCCATGTAGTTGTGCCGCGAACGTCACCCGCAGGAGTCTAATGAGCACCGCCTAGCACCTTGGGGTTTTCAAGATCCAGATTGGGAGTGGCGGCGCACCCTAGACACATATGAACCCTCGGTGCGGCTCATGTCGGTTTTTGGGCTACATGCGACAAATTGTCGGATCCCGGGCCAAATGACTGAACACCCCACAGAACTGCTCATACGCCATCTAGATGTGATGACGTGGCACACAACGGGCGTACGAGTTCACCATCAGTGGACAGCTCGAAGGTTAGAGTTTATGTGGCTCATATTCCACCTCGGGCCCGATTCTTGTTTGTTGGGATGAACCCTGCCATCGGAGGGATACAGAGTTCCTTTAGTTGTTAAACGCACACTGTGTACGTAGAGGAGATAGTACCATTAGGGTTTCACCAAACCCTGTACGATGCTAGGCAACAAGTGCGATGCGTGCGCACTAGAGTTTGCGGATGACAACGCGTTGCAGTCCCATGTAACAAAAAACAACGTCTGTCGGCAGAAGCTTAAACATATTTACGCATCAAAGCTAGTCGCCGCTTACCGAGAGGCGCTGATCGCGCTAGCAGCGTCGAAACTGCCAGCGGGTTCTGCCGAGAGCTCCAAGTCACCGCCGCGGTCTAGCAACCTTAAGCGACCGCATGTAGAGCTCAGCCCGCCAGCACCAACGTCGGAGGCGGATTGCGATGACGCGCACTCTGATGTGACAAGCGTCGATGACTGTTTCGACACGTTACAGGAGCTGTATCTGTTTTTCCGCGATGCAGACCTTTCGATCAGGGAAGTAAACAGGTTACTTCACATTTTCAGAAGCCCCCTGTTTGATCTACAAGCTGCTCGCTCATGGCGCAATGCGGCGGATGTGCGGCGCTATGGAAAGGAGCGAGAGCCGCCGGACATTGTTCCGTGGACAATGGAAGAGATCAAGGTGTTCGGGCCCCACGGCAAGGTGGCCAGGTTGACACTTCACGTCAGGAACACGGAGTTGGTGAGTCTAGCAATGTGGTATGCCAGGGCGCAATCCGGCCTTCACGCCCGCTACATGATGTTGTGCATATCTATACCTTGGCCGAACTTGACTCGACGTGCGTTCTAACTCCTGGGCGTTGCGTCTCTGTTTGATGAAAACATATTGCAGCTGGTGAAGAAGTTGGTGAGGACATTTGTGCACGTGCGCGGATTTGTCACGCAGCCTCGGACGGATGGCGAGGACGACGAGGACACTCGGCATTACAGCACGCACGACACGGGGAAGTGGTTTCACGAGTGTCAGGTGGGTGGAGAAATTGGTCGTCCGAAAGTCTAGCAGTAGTTCCGATTTGACTGTCACCAGTATTTAACACTGGCGACGGCTCTCGTACTGGCAGGCGGCGTTGCCCGAGAAGGGATCATGGGTGCTGGGGGTCATTGTTTACAGTGACAGTACCTATGCGTCCGGAAACGGCAGGAGACAAGCGTGGACCGTTCTCATAACGCTGGTTAACATACCGGAGGGATTCAGGTGGACGGAACCCGGATTTGTATTGGCGGCTGTCCTTCCGTTTCCGCCGGAATGGGCATCGTCAACGGAGAAGACACGCGTGTATCAAGAGGCGCTGAAGATCATTCTTGCGCCACTTTTGAGGGACCACAAAGAGTAAGATGTGCTGGTGTATGCAGGATGGTCGGAGAGCCCCAACGTCTCATGAGTGTACACCTACATCATTGCGTGGTTGTTTGTATCACTGTGTTGCAGCGCGGAGCTCCGATTCATATTTGTGACAGACGTTAACGGGAAGGCTGTGAAGGCGTACCCGTGTCTGTTTGCAGAAGTCGGAGATTATCCAGAGCTGTCCCGCGCAACCGGGACGATGCAGGCGACGTCTCACCGCCCATGTAGCAGCTGTTACGTGAAGGAGGACAACCTTGCTCGTGTCGACTTGCGAGCTCCTGTGCGCACCGTGGATAAGCAACGGCGCATCGTTCACGCCATCCAGACGGCGGCGACGGACACTCTAGCTCAGCGTATCCAGAAGAGGTGGTCGACACACCCGCTTGTGGTATGGAACCGACCGTGCTTGGCGGGTGTATGCTGAGTCCCATGTCTAGTATGGCCACAACGTGGCCTTTTGAAATAACACTCACATCTGTATGACACGCCGTGTGCAATGCGTTTTGGAACGCTGGAACTTCGCAGAGACGGAGTGGGGGAATGTGTTCCTTGCGTGCGTCGCGGACATCTTGCACGCGTTGGATTTTGGGGTGTTCGGCCATTCGACCTCGTGCTTGGTGGAGGGGAAGAGCAAGCCAGAGAAACGGGAGTGGGAGGGGTGAGTTTTGGCAATGTGTTTCATTGCACACATTGGGCGACCATGCTATGCGCGCATACCTTTTTCTTTCGGATGGTAAATGCGCATGGTAGTCAATATCTGCATGCAATAGATGACACGTGTTCCTTGGGTACATATAACGACCACAGGAGGAAGAAGTCATACAAGAAGGACACGCGGTCAACTGTGCTGAGGATTCCAGGTGGATCGTCGTATTTTCGGAGCGCCGCCAACTATGCGGCGTTCGAGCACAGGGCGATGATGCAAGTGATGCCGCTTATCATTGCGGACAAGATGGACGGAATGAAGCCGAAGGAGCGCGAGCAGAGAGAGCGCGAGGTGCGGGCGTTCCGGATGTACGCCACCTTTTACAAGGCGCTTGTGGGCGTGGTGAAGCACACTCGTGCTTCATTGGCGGTGGTCAGACAGCATGCAATCTCGTGAGTGTTTGCGGGTGCTCGAATTGATGGCTGGTGGCCTGTCTAGTGTTTACGGTGGAATGTGTTATGACAGTATGCTATTCGGACGTGTCCACTTGCAGGATGGTGGACGCGCTGATCGCGGCTTTCCCCGCACAGTCATCAGGATGAAACTTGCCGAAGGTTCATGCAGTGGTCCACCTCATTGATGGCATCCCCATGCGGGGTATGCCGCACGAGTACTCAACCAACTCGTGGGAACACAGTCACAAGGTGACAGTGAAAATCCCAGTGAGGGGGGGGAATTGGAAAGATATTCCTCGGCGGATAGTGGAGGAAGAGGTGCAGAGGGAGTTGGCGCGAGAAGTGGCGGTGGATGCATGCGGTGGAAGACAGTACACAACTGCACTACGTGAGGTAATGCTGTGCGTAATGCTTCTTCTCTTGCGTGTATGTACCATGAGAAGATACGTGACTGTCCGTTTTAGGAGACTTGAAGAGACACATCGGAGTGCGCGATGCTTATGAGATACTTGTGTGGTATGCAGGCTGTGCGGTTGCAGGAGTATGTGCTGACGCGCCGATCTCGGGTGGCAAACCCTTCAGACCCGGAGGATGGCACCCTCGCGCCATACCGCTCAACACTTGGAAGCGACATGAACGCCTTGACGTCATGCGCCACGCGTGCTGACCTTTCTCTGGACCGATTCTGGGTGAGTGTTGTCTTGTGTGATGTGTGCTTTTGCCCCGGGTCAGGTTCTGATGTTGTTGTGCCCATCGTACTCATGCTCCATTCGGTTGACTTGGCACGATAGGTACACACGGCCGTGGCGATCCCACGAACGCGTGGAGGCGAATTAGTGGCGAAAGGGACCTTTGTGAAGGCAAGTCCCACAGAGAATTGGTTCTCGGATGTTGCGGTGAAGGCACCAAAGGAGAAGGAGGAGTGGTATGCCCGGTGCTTGTGCATTTTCCGGGCAAAGCAGACCGACGGGACGATTGCCAGGTTTGCGTACGTGAAGTACTATGAGGCAGCAGGGGTGTGTGGGCTGACCACATGCATTCAGTTAACGCCCGGGCGAGTGAAAACGAAGTACGCAGTGGTGGAGATTGAGTGCATCAAGAGGGTGGTGCTCATCTGCAAGTCGTTTGTGAATGCCCGCGTGCTGCTGCTGAACAAGTTTCTCCTCTGCGAGTGACCACATATGGGGAGCGCTTATTGTGTCACCTCTCAAGACAGTTAATTAGTTAGGAGACATATTCATTTTATGTGGCTAAATAACAAAGTTAACATGGTTGCATTGAGCACACGGGTCCTATAACGCGGTAATTTCACGCCAATTGGAGTGGTAATGCTGAGAGTTCAACCCACGAGACGCGATGTTTGGCCGAATCGCACATTTCGCGCCGCAAATTGGTCAATGTATCGCTAGATGTGACTCTACCGTGACTTTTTAGTATACGGAACCGTGTCACATAAAAGTCACATCGGAGCCGTGACTTCTTCGGAGCTCGTTGGCACTTTCCGTATACATTTCCGAAGAAAAACCCACGGATGCCCTAAATCCGCACCCAGCCAATTAAGTGCGGCACTTGCTGTTGTCCTCTCCGTCCTCACTCTCACTGTCTCACCAAGTGCAACGCAACGTTCCCCCGTGTCCCCTCTGGCAGATCGGCCATGCTGGAAGCCCACCAGGCTCATGAGGCTGATGACCGTTGAAGAGAGGTGGTTTGGTGCCCACAACCCTCATCACTTCCTCATAAGGCTTAGCACCGGGCGTCACACACACACAGGTCGCTTCACAAGGAGCAAGGAGCTACCAGCATGGATCAGAAGACGAGGCATGCGCGAGACAAAGTGCGTGTGGCTGGGGTGGTGGGTGTGGCTGGGGTGGTGGGTGCAGCAGCTGTTTCAGGTCGGAGCAAGCTAGTTCACAATGGTCGTTGCTGCATTGTCAGTCCACCCACCTCTACCCACCACTACCCATCCTTAACTCACCTTTTCCCACTTCAACCCTTATCAACCCACCTTTACCCCTTCCATCTTTGGGCACCAGGGAGCTCTCAAGGGACTTATTTCATGGTGCAGGTGGATGCAGCCACGTGTGCAGGTAGGTGCAGCCACGTGTGCAGGTAGGTGCAGCCACGTGTGCAGGTAGGTGCAGCCACGTGTGCACTCACTGACACACGTTTGTCATCCATTGTGTTGCATTTCACATCTTCACATGATGCCATTTTCTCCCATGGTTACAAACAGCGCCCTAGTTTTCATTCTTGTTCCGTGCCGGCCTCTCTTTCTTACACTCTGCCTGCCCACCTTCGTTTCTGCTTTCCTACCTGCCTATCACAGCCTGACGACATGCGTGCGTGCCTGCCATGTGCCATGCACGTGCCCACCAGCATCAACGCCATCTGCTGCTTCCTTCCACCCCGCAGCCATCCAGCAGTCCCTCCTTTCACTGCATCCCTTGCATAAATATTTTTTCAGCCCCCCCTTGTTGTTCCCCCTTTCGCCCCTCTCCCCCACTTCCCTCGCTTCCGTTTCCACTCCCCGCCACACGCAGAAAGCCCACCTGCACTACTGCACTGCCCACTCAAGTCCGAGGCTGCTCGCGTCGCTCTCCCCCTCACCTCATAACTCCCACCAACCACCTCCCCTACCACTCACATCCAAAGCATCACCCTCGCTCACCCCGTGTCGAAAGAAGGTGAGTGGGGCGGGGCACGTTCGTGGGGATCACATGGGGGGAGCATGGGGCAGGGGTGGGGATCACATGGGGGGAGCATGGGGCAGGGGTGGGGATCACATGGGGGGAGCATGGGGCAGGGGTGGGGATCACATGGGGGGAGCATGGGGCAGGGGTGGGGATCAGTTGGGTAGGGCAGCACTTGGGAGCGATCCGTTCTTCCCAACCTCCCTTTCTTCACTCCCTCATGTTCCCTTCCATGAGGGCATGGGGGGCTGGCTGGGATGGGATGGGGTGCGCACAGCAAAGGGGAGCATGAGAGGAGAGGCTGCTGCTTGGTGCCACGGCCAACCGGCTGGTGATTGACCGTGCCATTATCCATGCTTCCGACCGTTAAACTGAATGATGCCAGGCTGGATATTGCCCCACCAAAAACCGCTGAGGGCTTTCTTCTGTGGCGTGCCTTTTCCTTTCTGTCTCGCTGCTTTTCTTTCCCTCGACGGTGCACGCTGAGAGAGAATGTGCGTGCCTGCTGTGGCCCCTTGTTCCTCTCTGCTCTCCTCTTTTCTTTCCTCTCGGTCGTGCTCATCTCCCCCCTTGCCGCCCTTCCCCTTACTGCCTCCCGCTTTGCCACATAAACCCAACCAACCCTCCCCCCTCCCCTCCCCTTGTGCCCTCGCTGAACCTCCCTTTCAGTCTGATGGTGTTTTGAGACGTACCAACATGGAGTTTCGAGATGAGTGTTGAAATGGTTCCAGTCGTGTGAGTTCTTTCACCGTGGTGCTCCCCCTGTGGAATGTGGAGTGGAGTGGAGTGGAGTGGAGTGGAGTGGAGTGGAGTGGAGTGGAGTGGAGTGGACCCAGCAGAGGGAGATCCTCAGCTCACGCAAGCACGCCAACAGGGGGAACAACAAAACCTTCTCCTTTTTGTGTGACCACATCAGGGTCCGCTCTTGACCTGCCATCCATCCCCTGCGTTGCTCTGCGTAATCCCTGTCTCTGAATCCCCCACCCCCACCGCCCTCTTCCTCCTCCTCTCAGTTCGATGGTGAGCCAGCCAGAAGCAGGCAACAGGGAGGAGATTCTCCCAGTCGGCTTTGGCTCCTACTGAGGTGCCTTGGAGCTGAGCGGCCATCCTTGGCTCCTGCCCGCTACATCTCGCACCCCCCCCCTCCACCCTTGCCAATTCTCTTCGCTCTGGGGGGTGGTCCCACCAGACGTGCACCACAGGGAGACGCTTCTTCAGCTTATCTTGTAACCAGCGCCTCACATCCTCACATGGGCATAGTACCAGTACTAGCGCGCTGAGCTGCGGAGCTTGGAGTCGGATCAAGCAAGCAGGGAAGATTAGGTGCGTGTGAGCATTCAGAGGGGTGGTGTGAGTGAGTGTGAGACAGGCACAGGGGGGTGTGCAGTCAGTGCCAATGCTGCCATCACCGATAGGCGCTCTGGGATCTACCTCAAGGTGGGTGTGACTATACAGAGAGGGGGGAGGGGGGAGATGATGTGAGTCACGTGTGTTGCTGTGCAGAGCGGCACCTTGTGTTGGAAGCACATGGGGGGGCCTAAACAGCACCACCGCACTGCACTGCTTGCATGCGCCTCATCAACCACCTGTGCTTCACACCGTGTCCGTGCATCATCCGCACACCGCTCACATTGACTATGCCAACCCTCCTCCCCGCCCAGCTCCTCTCCCCTTCCCCTTTTCTCGGTCCTCTCCCCTCGACCCTCACCCTTGTTTTTCTGTACTTTTTGTGAGCTGTGGCACCACCGTCATCCATCTCTCCTCTTTACAATCATCTTCCCTCCCTTGTCTTGCTCTTCCCTCCCCTTCCCTCCGCTCCCCTCACCTTCCTTCCCCGGTCCTCCTGTCCACTCGCCTGCCCCAACAGAACCTGTGTGTGACGGTGGCATATGAGCTCATTAGAGTGCCCTCTTCCTCCCACCCTTCCCCTCACTAAGTGCTCACCTTCCTGTGCGCCCATTCACCTCATCTTCCTGTGCGCTCATTCACCTCACCTTCCTGTGCGCCCATTCACCTCACCTTCCTGTGCGCCCATTCACCTCACCTTCCTGTGCGCCCATTCACCTCACCTTCCTGTGCGCCCATTCACCTCACCTTCCTGTGCGCCCATTCACCTCACCTTCCTGTGCGCCCATTCACCTCACCTTCCTGTGCGCCCATTCACCTCACCTTCCTGTGCGCCCATTCACCTCACCTTCCTGTGCGCCCATTCACCTCACCTTCCTGTGCGCCCATTCACCTCACCTTCCTGTGCGCCCATTCACCTCACCTTCCTGTGCGCCCATTCACCTCACCTTCCTGTGCGCCCATTCACCTCACCTTCCTGTGCGCCCATTCACCTCACCTTCCTGTGCGCCCATTCACCTCACCTTCCTGTGCGCCCATTCACCTCACCTTCCTGTGCGCCCATTCACCTCACCTTCCTGTGCGCCCATTCACCTCACCTTCCTGTGCGCCCATTCACCTCACCTTCCTGTGCGCCCATTCATCTCACCTTCCTGTGCGTCCATTCACCTCACCTTCCTGTGCGCCCATTCACCTCACCTTCCTGTGCGCCCATTCACCTCACCTTCCTGTGCGCCCATTCACCTCACCTTCCTGTGCGCCCATTCACCTCACCTTCCTGTGCGCCCATTCACCTCACCTTCCTGTGCGCCCATTCACCTCACCTTCCTGTGCGCCCATTCACCTCACCTTCCTGTGCGCCCATTCACCTCACCTTCCTGTGCGCCCATTCACCTCACCTTCCTGTGCGCCCATTCACCTCACCTTCCTGTGCGCCCATTCACCTCACCTTCCTGTGCGCCCATTCACCTCACCTTCCTGTGCGCCCATTCACCTCACCTTCCTGTGCGCCCATTCACCTCACGCTCCTGTGCGCCCATTCACCTCACGCTCCTGTGCGCCCATTCACCTCACGCTCCTGTGCGCCCATTCACCTCACGCTCCTGTGCGCCCATTCACCTCACCTTCCTGTGCGCCCATTCACCTCACCTTCCTGTGCGCCCATTCACCTCACCTTCCTGTGCGCCCATTCACCTCACCTTCCTGTGCGCCCATTCACCTCACCTTCCTGTGCGCCCATTCACCTCACCTTCCTGTGCGCCCATTCACCTCACCTTCCTGTGCGCCCATTCACCTCACGCTCCTGTGCGCCCATTCACCTCACGCTCCTGTGCGCCCATTCACCTCACGCTCCTGTGCGCCCATTCACCTCACGCTCCTGTGCGCCCATTCACCTCACCTTCCTGTGCGCCCATTCACCTCACCTTCCTGTGCGCCCATTCACCTCACCTTCCTGTGCGCCCATTCACCTCACCTTCCTGTGCGCCCATTCACCTCACCTTCCTGTGCGCCCATTCACCTCACCTTCCTGTGCGCCCATTCACCTCACCTTCCTGTGCGCCCATTCACCTCACCTTCCTGTGCGCCCATTCACCTCACCTTCCTGTGCGCCCATTCACCTCACCTTCCTGTGCGCCCATTCACCTCACCTTCCTGTGCGCCCATTCACCTCACCTTCCTGTGCGCCCATTCACCTCACCTTCCTGTGCGCCCATTCACCTCACCTTCCTGTGCGCCCATTCACCTCACCTTCCTGTGCGCCCATTCACCTCACCTTCCTGTGCGCCCATTCACCTCACCTTCCTGTGCGCCCATTCACCTCACCTTCCTGTGCGCCCATTCACCTCACCTTCCTGTGCGCCCATTCACCTCACCTTCCTGTGCGCCCATTCACCTCACCTTCCTGTGCGCCCATTCACCTCACCTTCCTGTGCGCCCATTCACCTCACCTTCCTGTGCGCCCATTCACCTCACCTTCCTGTGCGCCCAATCACCTCACCTTCCTGTGCGCCCATTCACCTCACCTTCCTGTGCGCCCATTCACCTCACCTTCCTGTGCGCCCATTCACCTCACCTTCCTGTGCGCCCATTCACCTCACCTTCCTGTGCGCCCATTCACCTCACCTTCCTGTGCGCCCATTCACCTCACCTTCCTGTGCGCCCATTCACCTCACCTTCCTGTGCGCCCATTCACCTCACCTTCCTGTGCGCCCATTCACCTCACCTTCCTGTGCGCCCATTCACCTCACCTTCCTGTGCGCCCATTCACCTCACCTTCCTGTGCGCCCATTCACCTCACCTTCCTGTGCGCCCATTCACCTCACCTTCCTGTGCGCCCATTCACCTCACCTTCCTGTGCGCCCATTCACCTCACCTTCCTATGCGCCCATTCACCTCACCTTCCTGTGCGCCCATTCACCTCACCTTCCTGTGCGCCCATTCACCTCACCTTCCTGTGCGCCCATTCACCTCACCTTCCTGTGCGCCCATTCACCTCACCTTCCTGTGCGCCCATTCACCTCACCTTCCTGTGCGCCCATTCACCTCACCTTCCTGTGCGCCCATTCACCTCACCTTCCTGTGCGCCCATTCACCTCACCTTCCTGTGCGCCCATTCACCTCACCTTCCTGTGCGCCCATTCACCTCACCTTCCTGTGCGCCCATTCACCTCACCTTCCTGTGCGCCCATTCACCTCACCTTCCTGTGCGCCCATTCACCTCACCTTCCTGTGCGCCCATTCACCTCACCTTCCTGTGCGCCCATTCACCTCACCTTCCTGTGCGCCCATTCACCTCACCTTCCTGTGCGCCCATTCACCTCACCTTCCTGTGCGCCCATTCACCTCACCTTCCTGTGCGCCCATTCACCTCACGCTCCTGTGCGCCCATTCACCTCACGCTCCTGTGCGCCCATTCACCTCACGCTCCTGTGCGCCCATTCACCTCACGCTCCTGTGCGCCCATTCACCTCACGCTCCTGTGCGCCCATTCACCTCACGCTCCTGTGCGCCCATTCACCTCACCTTCCTGTGCGCCCATTCACCTCACCTTCCTGTGCGCCCATTCACCTCACCTTCCTGTGCGCCCATTCACCTCACCTTCCTGTGCGCCCATTCACCTCACCTTCCTGTGCGCCCATTCACCTCACCTTCCTGTGCGCCCATTCACCTCACCTTCCTGTGCGCCCATTCACCTCACCTTCCTGTGCGCCCATTCACCTCACCTTCCTGTGCGCCCATTCACCTCACCTTCCTGTGCGCCCATTCACCTCACCTTCCTGTGCGCCCATTCACCTCACCTTCCTGTGCGCCCATTCACCTCACCTTCCTGTGCGCCCATTCACCTCACCTTCCTGTGCGCCCATTCACCTCACCTTCCTGTGCGCCCATTCACCTCACCTTCCTGTGCGCCCATTCACCTCACCTTCCTGTGCGCCCATTCACCTCACCTTCCTGTGCGCCCATTCACCTCACCTTCCTGTGCGCCCATTCACCTCACCTTCCTGTGCGCCCATTCACCTCACCTTCCTGTGCGCCCATTCACCTCACCTTCCTGTGCGCCCATTCACCTTCCTTCCTATGCTGTTGTTGACTCTAGTGCTTCTGACTCTGTTTACTCGAGTGTTGTTAGCTTAGGTGCTAGTGTTGCTGATTTGCCTGTTGCTAGTGTAGGTACTTGTGTAGACACTAGTCCAGGAGCTGCTTCGGAGGAGGCCTCGCTGTCTTTCACTCTGGACTCTGGGGCTTCGCACTGTTTCTTCCGCGACCACACGACGCTTACACCACTTCCTGCGCCGGTCTCTGTAGCACTGGCTGATCCCACTTCGGGACCAGTCACTACTCGCTTCACCACTACGCTTCCTTGCCCAGTTGTTCCGTCGGGCTCACTTACGGGTTTCTACATCCCCTCGTTCTCGAGGAACTTGGTGGGTGTGAGGCCTCTCGCGAGTCAGCACGTGGGTGTGTGGGTTGAGCCCTCTGGCGAGACTGCGGTTTGTGTGGACGGGGACTCGTACACTCCTCTAGCCACCTTTACTGCTGAGCCAGGCTCCGGCCTCTACACACTTCGCACTGGTTCCCGAGGGCAGCAGCCGCAGCAGCAGCAGCAGCAGCAGCAGCAACAGCAGCAGCGGCGGCTACTGCCCCCGGCTCTTGTACCTACCCACGTCTAGTCCCTGCGTCTCACCAGGTTGCTGCGTCCCCCCAGGTAGCTGTGTCTACTCAGGTTCCCGTGTCTGGTCCGGTTGCCGCGTCTTGCTCCTGCCGGTCTCTTGCCCACCCCACCGTTCTGTGGCACCACAAAATGGGGCACCCGTCCATTCCTCGTCTGCGTGCTATGTCTAGTTAGCGTCTTGTCCTAGGCCTCCTGCGTGTCTTGCCGTCGCTGCCGCCGTCCCTTGCGCCACCGTGCGGTCCTTGCGTCGAGGGTCGGCTGCGCGCCACCCCTCACTCCTCCTCCCTTCGTCTGGCCACCGAGCCTTTTGAGACACTCCACTTGGACGTCTGGGGCCCCGCCCTCCGCCCTGGCCCTGAGCGTGAGCGTTTCTTTCTGGTGGTCGTTGACGACTACTCCCGCTACACCACAGTGTTCCCCCTGGCAAAGAAGTCTGAGGTGACTTCTACGCTGATCAAGTGGTTGCTTACCACTGAGGACACTCGTGGTCGTCGTGTCAGCTGTCTTCACTCCGACCGTGGGGGTGAGTTTCGCTCCGGCATTCTCGCTGGATTCTGTCGCGAGCAGGGCATTCGTCAGTCCTGGACGCTTCCGGAGTCCCCACAGCAGAATGGGGTTGCTGAGCGCCGCATAGGCTTGGTCATGGAGATCGCCCGCACCTCCTTGACTCACGCCCGTGCCCCCCATTTTCTGTGGCCCTACGCGGTTCGGTACGCCGCTCACCAGCTGAACCTCTAGCCACGTGTCTCTCGGCCAGAGGTTTCACCGACCAGTCTTTGGACCGGGTCCCCTGGTGTTGCGTCGCGGTTTCGTGTCTGGGGTTGCTTGGCTCTTGTTCGCGACACCTCCGCGGACAAGCTCTCGCCTCGTTCCCTGCGTCTTCCTTGGTTTCCCTGAGGACTCCTCTGACTTCACCTTTTACCACCCTCCCTCTCACCGGTTCTTTGACTCCCGTGACGTCCGTTTTGAGGAGTCCACCCCCTACTACGTCAGGTACCCTTGTCGAAGTCTCCCGGTTCCTCCTCCCCCTCTCTTCCTCACTTCCGCCCCCCCTCCTGCTCCCCCGGTACAGCCTCCCCCCCCTGGTCCAGCCCCGTCAGGTGTGTCCCACGCTACCCCTCCCCCCTCGGTAGCCCCTCAGGTGCAGCCTCCTTCCCCGCAGTCCTCCTCGCAGCCTACTGCACACCCTGCGGGAGCCGGTGTTCGTGGAGGGGACCCTGCAGGAGCTGGCTCTAGAGGCGTTGGAGTGGGAGCACAGAGCGTACCTGTGCCGAGTCCTGGTTCTGGGGGTGCTGGGGTTGAGGTTAAGCCCGTGGCTGCGGGCGACTCTACTCTTTCGGGAGCTGGTGCTACGTCTGGGGGTGCTGCGTCTGGGGGTGCGGGAGCGGGTTTTGGTGAGCCTGGCCGTGTTACTGTTACTGGTGCTGACTCTGGGGGTGGTGCGCCTGGTGCTCTGGAGGGCGGTCCTGAGGCTGGTGCGGCCCCGGACACTACTCCTCCTCCCCACCCCTACCCGACCCGCCACCAGGCTCGTGTTCGCCGTGCCCGTGAGGAGCAGCTGGAGTTGGAGAGAGAGGAGCGAGAGTTGCAGCGGCTCGAGGAGCAGGAGCAGCGACAGCAGCAGCAGCAGCGACAGTCGCAGGAGCAGCAGCAGCAGCAGCAACAACTACATTAGCAGCAGCAGCCGCCGCAGCTAGAGCAGCAGCAGCAGTCGCCTCCTCCTCCTGTCTCTGGTCTTCGGACCCTCGGTCTCCCCTCTCGCTCTCCTTCCTCTTCCCCCCTCCTCCTATCTACGGTCCCACGTTTCCTCTTCCAGACTCTTCCCCGGCTGTCTTCCCTCGTTCTCCCCCTCAGTCGTCTTCTCTTCCTTCTCACGCTTGGCCCTTTCGTCGCTCTCCTCGTGCTCGTCCCTTGTCCGCTGTCGCTCTCACAGACCTTCGCACTACCCTGTTTCATCTTTTCCGCCTCGTTCCTCTCCGTCTGTGCTTCCTTCTCCCCCTGAGTCGGCCCGCACTGCTTCCCTCTCTACTCCTGTCACTGACTACTACCGCACGTACTATCCTGTTCTCTCTCCTGTTCTCGCCTCTCTTGTTACCCACCCTCGTGCCTCTCTGTCCTCTGTCTCCGCTCTTACTGCCGCAGTCACTGAGTTTGCCTCTACTCGCCGCCTTGACTACGCCACCAGTCTTGTGGCTGCTCCTCCTTCCAGTCCTCTGGCCGTCGGGGGTGTGTCTGCCCTTGGCTGTGACGCCCTAGAGGACAGGCAGTTTGAGCTAGAGTTCCTGGCAGCCGCTTCCCCTCATCTCTGTGCCATGCTCCTCTCCCCTGAGGGAGACCCCGACGCCCTTGACATACCGACTCCTCGCACTTACACTGAGGCAGTGTCAGGGCCTTGGGCCTCTCAGTGGAGAGCTGCCATGGACGCAAAGATGGCCTCCTACAGATCCACAGGCACCTACGTCGACGAGGTTCCCCCCCCCCCCCCGGGGCGAACGTAGTCGATGGCATGTGGATCTTCAGGGTGAAGCGGCCACCAGGATCTCCTCCGGTCTTCAAGGCGCGCTATGTGGCGAGGGAGTTTAGACCTTCGCGCCTACCCCGAAGATGACCACTCTTCGGGTGTTACTGCACGTAGCAGCACAGAGAGACTACGAGTTACACTCTCTCGACTTCTCTACTGCTTTTCTTCAGGGTAGCCTACACGAGGAGGTCTGGCTGCGTCGTCCCTCTGCCTTCACTGGCACTTTCCCTCCTGGGACCCAGTGGAGACTGAGGCGACCGGTCTACGGTCTCCGTCAGGCTCCTCGTGAGTGGCACGACACCCTGCGTTCTACCCTGTCTGACCTTGGTTTCCAGCCGTCTTCTGCTGACCCGTCGCTGTTCGTTCGTCGTGGCTCCACACCGTTCTTTGTTCTTGTCTACGTCGACGACCTGGTTTTCGCTACTGGTGACAGGGTTGCCTTGGCAGACGTGAAGTCCGAACTGCAGAAGAGACACACGTGCACTGACCTAGGTGAGCTGCGCCACTACCTTGGCCTGCAGATCACCAGGGACAGAGCTGCTCGCACCATTACACTCTCACAGTCACACATGGTGCAGCAGGTCCTTCAGCGGTTCGGGCTTCAGCACTCCACAGTACAGCGCACACCTCTTGCTGTTGACCACTTACTCACTGGACCCTTTTCTGACGAGCCGTTTGAGCCTAGTGGTCCCTACGCAGAGCTGATAGGCTGCCTCATCTACCTAATGACCTGTACTCGCACCGACCTCGCCTTCCCTCTCAACATCCTTGCTCGCTTTGTTGCGCCAGGGAGACACGGTCCCGTTCACTGACGGCAGCTGTGAGGGTGGCGAAGTACCTAGCAACGACATCAGGCGTGGGGCTCGTTCTTGGAGGGCAGCAGTCTGTCGTACTTACTGGTCATTGTGACTCTTCTTACGCTGACGACGCTGAGACTCACAGGTCTACTCAGGGGTACTGCTTCAGTCTGGGTTCTGGAGCTGTTTCTTGGAGGTCCACGCGTTCCTCCTCGGTCTCGACCTCTACCGCTGAGGCTGAGATCTACGCTGGTGCCATGGCGGCACAGGAGCTCCGTTGGTTGACCTTCTTGCTCGCCGACCTTGGTGAGCGGTCGAGCTCTGCACCGACCTTGTTCACTGACAACAAGGCGTCGATTCTCCTCTGTCGAGAGCCGCGACTGGAGAGCAGAGTGAAGCACATCAACGTCAGGTACTTTCTTCTGCGAGAGTTGCAGAGACGTGGACAGGCTCGCTTCGAGTTTGTGGAGTCCGAGGCCAACACTGCAGACATCTTCACCAAGGCGCTTCCGCCTTGTGACCACCAGAGGTGTTGTGTGCAGTTAGGCCTTGTTGACACTGGTTCTCGTCTTGCGTAGGCTTGAGTTTACTGTTTGCTTTGCTTGTACACTTGCTATATACCTCTGTGAACTCTTGGACTGGCCTTGTGGCCTCTGTTGCTTGTGCTCAGAGTGTGTGGTGACGTTGTGATCTGTCAAAACAGCAGGCAGAAACGAGAAACAGGAAAGAGGGATTTCACTAGCAGGCAGTTCAGTACATATAGCAAACCCTAATTCGGGCTGTACTCGCTATAGAGTACCCCACTGCAGGCTAGACAAACATCACATTCTGACACACCCCCATAGTCAAAGTGGGGTACAATCAACACAACAAGCAGGCAGAGCAGTAGTTCACAATGATAAGCAAAGCTAGAGACTATCACAGAGGGCAAGTGAGGAGGAGGAGAAACTGTGGGGGCGAGAAGATGGGAGGCGACGGCTGAAGCTGCAGACACACGGGCAACAGGAGTGCGCAGCACTGTCGCTACCAGGCGCAGAGCCCCGGACTACACGGCGACAGGCGCAGCTGGCTCTCTGTGCTCCCAGGAGTGCTCACACTGTGGCTACCAGGCGCAGAGCCCCGGACTACACGGCCACAGACGCAG